AAGTGTACCTCTGGTGCAAATTACTGACCTCTGTCATCATTTTAAGTGGGGGAACTTGCACAATCGGTGGCTGACTAAATACTTTTTTGCCCCACTGTAGGTTCAGAGCGGGAGTAAAGGTTATTGTTATATCACAGATAAGTCTTCACCTACCTCAAAGGACGAGAAGTACGCCAAGATCTATTCAATCTCATTTGAAGGATTCTCTAAAAAACTCCCATCATGTTTCAATCAAGTGTGTGTGCAGGAAGTGCCTCCGTTCTGACCGTTTTGGAGGCCCAATTACAAGACGGCAAACAGAAAGAAAAATAAGAGAAGCTGAAATTTTGTCTGGGCATCTCAGACAAAAGCCATTTGAAATGGCAAAAAGATCAAAAGATGGTGATGAAAGAGCTTTGCTTGAGTCAGCATCGTCAGGAGGTGAAGAAAGTATGTGGATAAACAGGACAAGAAACACCACTCTGTCCAGTTATTGTTACACATTCTGTTCACTCGTATACTAGAGGCTACGCAATGAACACAGACTCCTTCACTGCTCGTTAGAAAGTTTTTAGCATGTTCACATTCTTTAGGCTTATGCCATTGAAAGTAACTGTTGTACATATTCTAAGTATTTGTATTATGCTATTTAATTTTCTAATAAACAGTACAATCAGGTACCCTAACAGTATGAACAGAAAACAGGATTATTCTCTTAAACTATATCTTTTGGCGTCATTCTGCTGGGTTCCACAGGCCACTGCATTAATATTGTCATGGTTGTGTATCCCAGTTAACACTGAAGCCGGAGCAGACGGTGCTCCCCTTGGTGGATAAATCCAACGCCGTGGAGACGAGAACAGGAGTTAGCTTCCAACATCCTGAGATCATCGTTCATGCAGAACTTATCACCTCAACTCTGTCTGAACCATACTACTGGAAACTGCCTGAGCAGTTCAAAGGCTCTATGGTAGGAAATATCACAATGGGGGTTTTTTTATTGTTTGTATCATCTTGGATTTTACTTTGGTATTTACAAGATAGTGTGTGTATAGTGATAGACGCTAACAAACATCATGTCTTTCCAAATATAATTGCAAAACTCATGTCACACCTGCCGTTCATTATACATTCATATATTGCGTACAGATCCGTTGTTTTGCATGCATGTAAGACAAAACGGCAAGGTATTCATAGAGAATCTCAAAAATAATGCTCAAAAATCCAATAAGTACAATGTTGGTGATTGTTTTGTGTCATTGTTTCTCTTAAGATCACAGCATATGGGGGGCAGCTGAAATATGCTGTGTACTATGAGGCCAGAGAAGAAACCGGTCCTTCCTCCTATGAGCCTCAGGTCATTATTAAAGGTGGTCCTAACCACAACATGGTGATGACACGCCACATAACAGGACTCCAGATTGGTCAGCTCACCCGCCATGAGATTGACATGACAGAGGTACAGTAATGGTTTAGAGGTGATAAGGAAATTCATAGTAGTAGTAGCAGCAGTAGAAGTAAATACTGTAGGAGTAATTTAAAATTAATTGTTTATTTTACTCCATGCAAACAGGGTTTCTTAAACTGAGTGCAGTGATGATGTTGATTGTTCATCGTGTGTGTGTGTGTGTGTGTGTGTGTGTGTGTGTGTGTGTGTGTGTGTGTGTGTGTGTGTGTGTGTGTGTGCGCGCGTGCAGCATGACTGGAAATTTGCAGATGGTCGGACTATGACTCGACAGGACTTTATGGACATTTTGTTCTACGTGGACTACATCCTAATTAAGGCATCACACGGCAACTTGATGAGACAAAGCCGGTAAAACACACACACACACACACACACACACACACACACACACAGAACAACTTAATCCTCCATCTCCACACATTGGGACAATGGCTAAATAAACATTACTTTTGTAAAAGTTTTCAGGTGCAATAATGCAATTTTTTAAAATCTATTTTTTTACTTTACTTTTTTAGAGTTTTGTTCATTAAACTAATAAAATCAAAGATTCTTGATTTTTTTTTTTTCCCCAGTATTTCAGAGGTCAGTCTGACAGTGGCCGAGGAGGGCATACCAACCAAAGAAAGCGAGAATGCCCACCAGATAGAGAAGTGCGATTGTCCAATTGGATACTCTGGACTTTCCTGTGAGGTGGGGACACAATTAAATACCTGCATGCATTCACACATGACACCACACATCTGAAGACCAAATATCTGCAAAGGTCTTGTAAAAGAAGCTCAGTAAATATATACAGCTTACAGATGGTGGGTATAGTGCTCCATAGTATTTGCAAGTAACTGTTTTTTTTTTAATTAATCATTTAAAATTTAAAAACAGGTGAAACTTGGAGACTATCTCATATAGAAAAGATTCGAGGACATCTCTCTAAAATGAGGCAGCATTTTAGAGAGATGCAAAGTATCTGAACAAACCAAAAGACTTATTGAGCAATGTCCTTTGGACAGATGAGCGGAGATATTAGATTGTTCTTTTTTTTTTTGCTTCTGCCTGGGGATGCCACATTTTTTAGCTGGGTCCTGTAACCCAATGTGAGTTGTGTGTTGAAATTAATTGAGTGCAGCTGAGAAAAAGGATGCAACATTAAAACGAATGAAAAAAGACAAAAAAAAAAGTACGATAGTGTGAGATTCTTACAAAAAAAATCACAAGAAAAACTATTTAAATTAATAAAAGTTCAACATTAATCACAGAGTGAGCTGAACTGGCTGCTTCCTTCAGAGCTCGGAAGAATTTTTTTTTCCTGCTTCTCTCACAATGAGAAAGAATGAGGGGAAAATGGGCGCACAGACATGGCTTTCAGTACTATCTCAAAAGTTTCTAATTTACATTTAGCTCAGCATTTTAAGCCTGTCGGTGCCTTTCAGACCCTCCTGTTTTTCTATTCTGTTTTTTATTCTTTCACTTTGGTTAGTCAGGATTAAGCCTCACTGAGCATCTCCTCCACTCAGTTGCGATTTTGTCCAACCAAATGACTTTCAGCTGCATCCAGCTCCTTTGCTTAAGCCGCAGAAATCTTATAGCTGTGACTCAATCTTTAGTCTAATGAGGATTTTGAAGACACAGCTTATGATACACTGACACGACAGTTCTGGCTAATTCTGCTAGGCAGCAGTGCCCGAAAGTCGTTTAGGCATTATTGTGTTAATCTTAAAGGTATACAAGGTCTTCTGGCAAACTTTTAACTGTGTTCTTCAACTTCTGTTTCACTTTGTTGGATTTTATTAGTTGTTCAGAGCACATATTTTCTGGAAAAAAATAACTTAAAAGCTACAGATACTATTAAAAATGGCATCTAAACTTAAAATGTTCAGGTTGTTGAGGGCTTAGCTGACAGATGGCCATTTCTATTTGTAGCTGCCGACGTTGTTAATAAAGTATTTTTAAACAGGCGTTTAGTGCTAGCACAGGGAACAGATGGCTCTTTAAATGGACTCCATTAATTATTACTGAGCAGGAGAGAGAGGAAGAGAGAGTTACCTTGCATGTGTGTGTCTGTATGTGTGTGTATGAATGGATGCAGTTTTGTGTGTGTGTGTGCATTTGGCAGGTACATGAGGGTGTGTGCCTGTGTTCAAAAGTTACTGAAGGGAGACACCTTTGTGTGTGCGGAAAAAAAAGAGAGCGGTCAACAACTGCCCAGAGAAGTAATGATTGGGGATTATTATGTGAGTGTGTTCCAGTGCCAGGCACAGTTTGATGTTACCGTGGGAACGCACACTTCATCAAACCTGTAAAAGTCTACTTCTATTTTTAATCTTTGTCTCTGATCTAAATCTTTGCTCCCATTATCTCTCCGTGCAGGAGTGTGCTGCAGGATTCTACCGTCTTCGCAGTGGTTTCCTGGCATCTGCTCCAGCGTCCAGCGTGCCCACGGCTACAGGCATGGGCAGCTGTGTTCAGTGTCAGTGCAGTGGGCACTCCTCCTCTTGTGACCCTGAGACATCCATATGCCAGGTAACTGTGTGTGTGTGTGTGTGTGTGTGTGTGTGTGTGTGTGTGTGTGTGTGTGCATTCTACCGCTGGAGACCATCCTAGAGCCATATG